CATAGATTCCATTGGCAAATCCGTTTATGTACTTTAGATACCTACCCACTCTGGTTATCTCTTCTCTTGGACATATGATTTTTTTATAGCCAGGTGGCAAGTATACTTGCCAGTCTGTATTTCGAGTGATAATAAAAAAAGTTAAATTTTTTCGTCACAATACTTTAGAAGGTACCTAAATAAATCAGTTAAATTGAAAAAAAGTGTTTTAATAATCCGCAGGGAATTGTCGGCATTAATGGGTTAAGGTGTAGGAATAGGATGTTCTTACACTATGTTGTTGAATAACAATTGTTAAGTTAATAATTGTTATTTGTTAATATAACTGCATGATCAGGCATTCAGGCTGCAGGGTTCCAAATCAAATTGAAACATTTGAAATTTTGAGCCAAATGTATACTAGCAAATAGGGTAAACGCGGCATATTCCGACATTGTGGGTAATTCCAACACTTCGACTTTTTTCCTTTATATTAAGCTTTTTCTTAGTTCCATGCATTCGTTGATAGTTGAAATAGTGACGTCATACTTTTGCGCGCCATACTATTGCCAAAACACTAGGTCTGGGCTATCTTGCGGGAAAATGTTGAGATCCAAAGAGAGACAGTGCATGTCACCCAGTGAGAACATTGAAAAATGTGTCAAAGTTGATAGTTGACCTTGCTCTACCAAATAGTGATAAACTGTTTGTGTAAAGAATATTATGGTTTGAGGCTTTTAAATACGTCTGTGAATATATTAGGAATCCTTCAAGTGTACTTGTATTTGTTGATTTCAACTGGTAAAAAAATTAATATATGATTAAATTAAGAGATGGTTAAAAGATACATAAAACTAATTCTGACACAGCTTGGAATTAGACACACACAGCTCATTCCAAGCTGTGTGCAAAAATTAAAATTTTCTTAATTAAAAGCTTAATAGCTCTCAATTAAAAGCCTAATTAAGTAGTGTTCAATATTCAATACTCAATAGTGTTCCAATTCCAAGCTGTGTTGTATTCCAATACAGCTCACACAGCAATCGGAATTCAAACACAGGAGTGTCGGCATTACGAATTAGTAGAGTTTGAAGCGTGGCCAGAATTAGTCTCACAATATGCCAAATTTAGTCACACACAGTGTCAGAATATATGGATTTGGTAGGTTTGCATTCTAAAGGCTTTTAAATAAATATGGCAACATTTTTGTGTTGTTTTATTGTTGCTGGCGCGCATGGTGGCAATCCATAGGTTATTCAAAAGAACCTGTTCTTATGTCATTTTGAACCGATCAACGCTTCTTTACGGACCGATCGTAAAACACCTTCACCGGCAAAAGCTTTTGCACTTCTGAAGAAAGTCAGCTGACAGCTACACTGGCCGTGGGGCGTGGTGGACCGAATTTGAATTTGAATGCATCCACTTGAAATCCTTTGGCGCGTAGTGCGGTGTTTTGAGAGTGACGTAATGCAAACAGAACTCGAGTTGCGCATACAGTGTATTTTTTGTAACCATTCATTTTCTGCTACGTCCTTAAAGTGTCGGAATATACCGCGTTTACCCTAGCATTGGGCCATTGGCCACTTTGGAGCAGCAAGATTTCAATCATAAGAAGAAAAATTCCTATGTAGCATAGGTCATGAAGCCAAATTAATTATACCAAGTTAACCTACCAAAGCCAATTTAACATAGTGGCATTTGGCAATAAATAAATTCATTTGAGAACAAATCAATTTTCAATTTCCTTATAGCTATAGGTATAGTTCAAAATTTTATTAAACATTGATATGAAAATGCTGGAATCCAGGATAATTTACTGTTCCACACATTGTAATAAAATACAAAGGAAAAACTAAAAAAACATAGGTAGGCCAACATGTCACTCACACAAAAACACTCAAGCCTCTCAGTCACTGGTTAATCACCGTTAATGGTTTGCCATTTGTGAGTAGAAGTGACTACAAATACGGAATTTTTAACCAAGAAATAATTGTCAGGATTGTCAAGGCTGACGCTGGCTTTATTGCCTAGCTTTTTGATTTATAGATATGCAGTTAAATTTTAGACAATTAATCTTGATTAGGTATGTAAAACGAAAAGTTCAAAACCATGACATCTCATGGACATGGATGAAATCGTTGAGGAAAGGAATGACCATTGCCCCCTAGTCCTTATAACAACATCGGCATCTCGTATTTTCCTAATAATAAATTTACATTAATCACAATCAACAGACTAATATACACATTTGATTTATCAAAAACGTACCATGATCCCGTTTTCACAACTCCTAGAACGGCCAACTGAATTAATGGGAAATAATTTCGTCAACACGCGATGTTGCCACAAGATGCAAGTCAAACTTTACAGCTCAAGCAAAACAACCGGAAATTTTTTAATTAAAAAAGCCCCTGCTGCCAAAAATCAATATATCTACGAATAAGCAAACTGATTTTTTAAAGCATTTGAAATTTCAAAGAATTACAATACCTTACGAATTTAAAATCGACTTTTTCGGTTGCGATTATTCTACCGATTTATTTATCATCCATTCGAAAAAGGGTTGCATCATAGTCACAATCACTTGCGGTCGCTGTTACACTATTGATTTATAACTATTGTAACTATAACAAATTGTTATAATAGAACTGTTGTAACTCCTGTTAATATATCACTATTGTAAATATAAACTATATTTATAACTATTATCATTACACTACTGATTAATTATTATAAGTTCGTTCCTCAAGAAGTCTCACCTTAAGGTGAACAGAAATTACGGCTACACACTAAAGCCCCTCTCACACACGACGTGAAATGTCGCATGCGTCAAAAAAACACGCAGCGGTATTTCACGTTGAACCTCGGTGGACATACGTAATCTTCACTGCTATTCACATACGACTGCTTTTAACGCAGCGTCAAATTTGACGCATGGTGCCTGCGTGTATTTTTTCAAAAACTACTGCGGCATTTGCCGCAACAGTTTAACTTGCACTGGTACTTAATGTATGTAATGTCACACAGTGCGGCTTTTGACGCACATCCTAGTCTGGTACAGACAATGGGGCCGTAGTTAAGCAGTGAAAGGCCTCAAACCATGCTCATGTACCCTTATTTACCATATTAGGTGACAGACGACTGCCAAAGTACTTTCAAACGCTATTTAAGACAGATATATGTCTACGGCAAATCACCTAGTCGACACTTCTCCGGACCCGCCAGCGAACTCGCCTGCGGACTCAAACGCACAACCTAACTAAACGTTCAACTGAACCACTCAAAACTCCTTAAATACTGAACAGATCTGCTCAAAATTTGGAATATAATTAGTTATTTTCAATGTTATTTGGTTTATTATAGCTATGTCCCATTTATTACACTGCACTTTTTCAAGTGCTTATTATGATACTGGTAACTCTCGGTACACAAGTTATTATTTGTTTCAGTTTTCATTGTCATTGCCGCTGTTTTTGTTTTTCAGGACGGCAAATGGTGGCCCAGTGGTAGGGCAAGGTGGCCCAGTGGTTCAGAGCACCAAGATTGGAGGAGAGAGGTGCGGGTTCGATCCCAGCTCTGTGCGTCTGTTTCTGGTCAGAATCGGCAAGGAGGCCGAGCGGTTAAGCACAGCAGAATTGGAGCAGTGAGTTGCGAAGTTCGAGCCCGCAACAAGCTGTGGATGTTCTGCGATGTTAGGAATCGGCGACAGGCCTACGGCCTAATAAACGCTGAAACCGCTATTCATTTATTTATTTATTTTATTTATTTATTATTAGCGGAACTTTGCAATTGAAATAAGCGAAGCTGATTGGATGTATTTGAAAATTTTGAAGGGGCAAGTATTATGCTTCCTTCCGCTCCTAGCTGCTTCTGAAAGCCTGTGCAAAAATTTTTGAAAATATATCGACTAGTTTGGGAGATATTTCAGGCTTTCCGGAATTAATAAACAGCCTCAAAACCGGGCGCAGGAATATACGATTCTACATTTATATTTGGTTAGATATTGTTGTGTGTAACCGTATAGGTATAGCTAACAAATGAAATCCTTTTAACAAATTATGCATTATTTAATTATCAGCGTTAGATAGTTAGGAAAGTATTTGTAAAGTTTCGTTCAGATCTGTCTAGTAATTCTTAAAAAAATTATATCGTTTCGAACTTTCGCCCGTATAGCTGTAAAAAAATAGCTGTTTCGCCCGTAAAAACGATAAATAGCGGTTTCAGCATTTATTAGACCGTAGGCCTGTCGCCGATTCTTAACATCGAAGAACATTCACAGCATTTTTGTATGATTTTGAGGTCTCGAACGCGCAACTCACTGCTGCAATTCTGTTGTGCTTAACCGCCCGGCCTCCTTGCCGATTCTGACCAGAAACTGGCGCACAGAGCTGGGATCGAACCCGCACCTCTCTGCTCCAATCAGCGGCAATACTTTCAAAACTCGCTAAGTGAACGTAAGTACTTGCGCTCTATTTTCTTTTCTCTGATTGGTGGATTTGACTTGAAAGGCCGTCAAAGATTGGCTGATGAACTTACGATCTCTTAACTTTTTTGAAAGTATGGGCCCAGTACTCTGAACTGTAACCATTGGGCCGCCCTGCCCGAAATCGAAAAAAAAATCGTCGTGACATTAACATTATCTTTACTTCTTTATGGATATATGCGCAAAATTTTATCGAGCTATGTTGATTCAATGTTGATTAGCCTGTCCTGCATTTTAGGTTCACTGTTGAACATTGAAAAGTTTAGTTGCCACTAGTGCCACCTATGCAACTAAGTAAACAGAAAATACACATAATTATAGAGATGAATTTTTTTTATAAAATGCAAGTCTGAGAAAAATGTCAGTTAAGAGAAATATAACTACTGAATTCATTCTTCATTACTTATTAACTAAAAAGGAAGATTCAGTGAAACGAGGGACTGAGAGGCATTTTCATGTCTCAAAATCCATTTTGTGTTGAACTGATGACCCAGCAGTCCCTGCCATGTTCCGTGCAGTCAAATTCGCGGTCTTCGCCACCTGATGAATTAGTCAGTGACTGGGAGCCCTAGTCAGTAGTCACTAGTCAGTGTGCCGAACGACGTTGTGGAAATAGGTAAGTGTCGCTTCATGCGTGCTAGCCGTGTCCTGCTAGAACCGATTAAACTATTTCTCTAATATATATCGCTCGTAAATACTTTTGATAGGCTTAACTTATTAATTTTAGTTGGTTAATGTATAAACATCTGTTGGTTATTTCAACTATGGCTTTAAATGAATATGTAAGCCCGACTAAGCAGTAACTTGACTCTTGAGTAAGGTAACGTGTTCATTCCCAGTTTCCCATGGTGATAATGATGGAGCGTGTCAGCGTGAGGGAGACCACCTGCTACCTGGCAGTGGCACTGACCAATAACAGCTTGTCACGCGTTCTATGCGAAATTTAGTTTCCTTGTAATGAATAATCTTCTCTTGTAATAGTGAATTAGTGATATATGAATCGTGGAGTGTCTCGTTTCTCAATTTTATTTATTTTTTCATGTCCTTGAGTCAGACTTCAGTGATGGGTGAATTATTTGAAATTGAAAGTTCAACTTCTAAGTTGTCTGAACTTTAAAGTTTAGACAAGAATTTCTCTAAGTCTAAGCAATCAAGGGAAAAGTGAAATTGTCTTTGATCATGTGATGTAACCTGCAAGTTCAAATAATATTTTCTTTTCGATTGATTCTTAAATCAAGTCTGAAATAAAATATTCAATTGAGTAAAAATAGTATCTGTTTGAATTGGAAATTTATGTTCCATTTAGTTCCAAATTTACTTCAAACCATTTGGATTTTGACCTTACTTTGTACAAAATTTTGAATGTCAAATTCAAAGCTCATTAAGTACCTATCTTAAATCTGGATGACTGGATCTCCTCATAAAACAAAAATACAAATATAATTTTGAATATGAATACATATTCAAATATGGATGTATTTCTACATTATGACCTATTAAGCAATCAGTTTATATTATAAATGCATTTTATTAGACTTAAATTTATTCAAATTATTATTTATATTCAATCCAAAGGACAAAGGTTAACACTTTTTTGTAAGACTTTAATTACCTACTAAATAATATTGTATTCATTTGGTAAATGAGCAGACTGAAGCCCATAAGATAATTAGGTACTAATCAATGAGCCTTGATCATACTCCAAATTGTTGCTGTGATTCAGGGCCCTTAGTATTTGATAGATGTTATTGCCAGATAAGATTTTTCTCTCCCACTCTAAACTCAAAATTTGTGAAATAATAATAAATTTTTTTTCATCTGCAGGTTTTGTTGTTCATTTCAAAATAATTTAGAGGAGTGACCATCAAGCGGTGAGCTCTTAAGAGCATGTTGCTACAAGTGCCTGTAGTGCTGGCACTAGTTGCTCTGGTCTCCAGTGTGAGGGCTGAGGCAGAGGATGCTCTACCCATCCATGACTTGAAACCTGCCAGAGCTAAAGTTGAGGTGAGTGAAAGCATTACTTTGTGTTGCAGAGCAATTTTTTATTAAAATGATTAGCATACAATTATCCTAACATTCCAGAGAGGAAGGCCAAGTATATTTTCCGCTGGGCTTAACATTACTCACAGGCTTTACTACTTTCATTTCTTAAAATTTTATCAACCTTCAAATCCCAATTACTTTAATTCAAAGATCTAAAACTTTAATTTTAAGCTACATTCAATGCCTGATGTCAGTTGATGAAATTTCCCTGAAATAAGTTGTGTAATGTATCAAGTGCTGATGGTAGAACATAAAGCTAAATTAATCAGCATTCATTGTCTGTTACCATGTTGTGAGCATCAAACATGAAGCTATATTAATCAGCATTCTGTAACATCAATGTTTTAACTCATTATTTGTACTCCCAAAATATAGCAGGTCTGCGTGGTATGTTTATTAATGCAATGTTTTTCTCCTCAGAGCTGTAGTGGATGACAGCTGAATAGGCTTCCTCAGGTGAAGAAATTCATCCATGAGGATGTCCCACTCTTGTATCCTTTATTAACTCTTTGCTAAAAGTTACCCCAGACCTCATTCTCCAAGGGTAACGTATGAATTTCATTGTGTACTTTGATATTTTCTCAAATCAATTTACAACTTAGTGAATCTATTATTGATCAAATTTGGTTTACAGATTACCTACAATAATTTATTGGACTAAATTTTGAGCATCATAATGGGAGTTTTTGTTTATAAATGTTGACGTTCTTTTCCAAGCAATGTCCCAACAATTTGCATGTATAATATATATAGTTGGTTGAATCATTTATAAATTTCACTTGAGATGTGTTTCAAATGGTTAAATATTGTACAAGTTTAATTTGAGATGTGTTTATTTGTTAATCTCATTCAATGTTGTAGAAAATTTTTGCACCATAATGTCCTGAATTAGAATTTTCACCACAATGGTGTGAAAAGTTTAAAAGCTGTTAGTTCTTAGTATGCAGAGTTTTATGATACAAGTGTGGTTTAACCAAGTCTTCTTGTTCAGTTTCGGTTCACAAGGGTTTTAGATCCCTTAGGCCGGTATATTGTATGAAGTTTCTTTGGATTTTATTCATCTTAATAAGAATGTGATCTGTACAAAATGCTAGGAGACATGACATATATTATTATCTGTCACATAATCATAGGTTTTGACCTCATTCCTATTATTTCTTATGGTGTTAAAAATCCTCAACTTCATGCTTCAGTCATAACGTCGAGTTTGTGAAAGTTCCAGGTGCTCCACCAGTTCTCATCTTTTTCAACAAGTTTGATCAGGCATGTCTATTTTAAAAATTTGAAAAAAAAGAGATATCATTGGTTTCTGTTATGCTTACTGGAGGAATACAAATTGGATCGGAGGAGTTGTAAAGGATGAGGCATAGCAATGTATTATTTAGGAAAATGCCATATCGAGTGGTTGCCATTCAGTTAGAGAGCAATAAAAATCTGGTGGCAGATGGCCAGCACATCTGTTATGCTGGCGCCGCAGGTGTGGATTGTCTTGCTACACTTGTGAGGGAAATGTTCCTTTGTCTACTTTTATATTAAAAGTTATCTTGAAATCAGGATAGCTGTGAACCATTTTTCACGAAGCTACCATTATTGTGGTTTTTTCTCTGAAACTTGAATTTATCCCATATTTTATGCCAAATTTATTTCGTTCAAATTAATATTTTTTTTTATCTTGGTATTAGTTTAACATCATATTAACTGGTCGAATTTTTTTGTGTATGTGCCAATTTAATGTCTTGCCAGTAAAATTAAAACTCCGGTCAGTAAATCTAGAGAAGGCGAAAATTCTGAGGTTCTTTCATTTAATAGTGGAATTAAATGTTAATGAAGGACTGATGACGTCATGCTTCGTATACATTTATGTGTGCAGGAGGTTGAGCGCGTGAGTTTGAGCAACCTGAACCAGCAGCAGTGCAATGACGTGCTGCTCAAAAAGGGCTTCTTCAAGAGGAAGAACGCCGATGACCCCGTGCCTGAAGAGTTCTTGGAGGGCCCCTACACCCCCAAGCAGGAGCTCTAACCTTCGTGGGAGATGTCGGGAAGTGCAGCAGAAGAACTTACACCCTGAAAGCATTCAATTTAGAAATGTGTGTTTGTGTTACTCATGATTTCTTGTATATTACATTCTGATCTGTGTCTACTGTTATTTAATATGTATCTGAATTTTATGTTAGTGGCTATGAAAATTCACATTAGGGAAAATAATTTGGTGCATCTGGATACAATTTATTGCGTATCAGTATTGTCACTCATCTTTACAAAAAGTTATCTAAATTACGTTGTTAATTTCATTTTTATGTCGAGCGTGCGGCAGTATCAATTTGTCATGAATTTCAATCTGACCTTTAATTGAAGAGACCCGAAAAATCGTCCGGACACTTTATTTTTTGACTAAAACTTCCAACAATAATGCACACACAATTTTATTTTTACATCTCAAATTTTGTCATTTTTTTCTTTTTTTAAGTGGCATGGTGGAACTCCTTTATTTAGGGAATGCTCTACATCATCTAGCTGGTAAAATAAGCTATTTATATACGAATTGAATTATTGATTTTCCACATTTCCTTTACGTTGTAAACGCTCGTTACGCTGGAAGGGATCAGTTAGTATATTCATGCTCCTAAAAAACAGTGGTTTCCTGTATGATGAAGAACTGCCATGGATGTAAGTTAGCACGACAATTTGCCGGTGTAATGTGGTGCACTCACGACGTGGACAGTCGAAAGATTATCTCTGACTGACTACTGAATCTCATTGCACTCTACGCACTGGTACTTGGAGTGCTTTTTTACAACCATAATTTTTGTGTTGGGGTTTTTGAAATAAATAATTTTTCATTATTGCTTTTAATTTCCAAAATGGGCGCAGTAGGCTGAAATTAATTGCCATAACGTCGTAACTTATTACGATACATATCTATGTGTCTTATTCATAAAAATGTTCTCTGTAATGTGGTCTCGTTATGCACTTTGTGTTCATGCACTACGAAACTACGAAGGGCATGGCGTTTTGTTAGGTTTTTGCCGCTAATCGAGTGATTTATATTTGTTGTCATAACATTCGTTGAAGTACTTGGAAAACGAACATCGTAAATTAAAAATGTTTTCGATATAAACCCTTAGTATGATTCTTGATCATTGGCTTCCCTCTGCTCTTCATGGATTAAGTGAGATTTAGCACTGCGGCACGGGCAATCAGCAGTGTACTGTCTAGTTAGGCTATGAGCCTATGTGAATTGCGTACCTTTAAAAATAGTGCAATTAGCTGTAACCTGCGGTCATTTTCCGTAATTGGACACTTGAAATGTGATTTAAAATCTACCTTTATTACATTAGGTGTGAAGTGTGATAAATAACTGTTTATACCCCACTTTTTAAAAAATCTCTGGTTTGTCACTATGTCAGTCTGTCAGACCCACTTCAATCATGCCTATTGGCAAAATTAATTTGGAAATCACAAGTTAGAACTTAACGTCTTGAAGGATTGTTTCCTAAATTCCTATCCTAACCAGTGGCCAGCATAGTGGCAAACCAGAGCTTTTTTAGAATCAGTTCATTTGTAATTTCCTCATTTACTCAAGATTTAAGCCAATTTCTTTAGTATGCTAATACTGGTATCCAGAATACTTTACTGGTCTACTTATAGGACTCAAAAATGAACTTGAGAGAGTGTCTAAAAAACTCGCTGCCTTGCCACTAGGCACTATGGTGGCCAGTGCTGTGGCCACTGGTCAGTGTGCAGACTGTGAGACTGCGACTGGCAGTCTGGCACTGCTAAAAGTAAAAGTGAAAGGAGTAGCTAGGTACCTACTAGTACTAGCTCAACAAGACAAGATCTTTGGTGCCAAATCAGCATTAAAATCTGTGTCTTCCAGTTCCAAGCAATATGGATTTTGCCACCACATTTCTCTTGTAGCCTATTGAGACTTGAAAATTTGAAATCACTATTTGAGTCTCTTTCCTAAATCAGGCCAGGGTGAATTGAGTTATTTGAGTTAATTTCAGGAATGAAAGTTCACTTATAAAAAAGCTTTCCACGGATTTCAGTGATTCCACCCATCACCCAAGTTAAAAAGCTTTCTTTAAACCTTTAATGACAAGAATTATTTTCTAAATTTTTTTTTGTTCCTTGTGAGAATATTCCACACCATAGTGGCAAAGCAGAGAGGTTTTTAGACTCTCCCGCAAGTTCATTTTTGAGTCCTATAAGTAGACCAGTAAAGTATCCTGGATACCAGCATTATCATACATAAGAAATTGATTTAAATCTTGGGTAAATGAGGAAATTAAAAATGAACTGATTCTAAAAAATCTCTGGTTTGTCACTATGTTCCACACTCAGGATGATGTATGTTTTCGGTGAATTTTCAAGCGCATTTTCACTTTTTTTAAGCTATTGCTGTGCACAGTTGGCGCAATGTAATGAAAATTGATTATCTTCGCGCACGTGTTTGCGCAATCCCGGCTGTACGGCGCACGGCGCATTTTTTTACCAACATAGTACGGCGCACCGCGCAGGTCGTTAAAATGACAAAATAAATTCCCGCGCACCTGGCACATCTTCGATGATCTTCCTGACCATGGAGAATATTATCATTTGTGATGGAAATAAACAAAAAATATGTTCATATATATATTTTTCATTGTAGGTATGTAAAAAATTATAGCTTGGTTCCATACGGAACTGCTTGGCATTAACATAACATTTCTTCAAACAACACTTTTTCCAATAGTAAATGAAGCAAGGTTATTCATAATGGACAATACTGATGATAAATCAATCATGGCGGAATAAAATTTAATTTGAAGCATAGAATGCTTCCATTCATTCAAAATGAATAGGAAGGTTTCCCATTTTACGAATATTTGTGGGTGCGTTGTTGACATTGTTTACGAAGCGCTGCATTTGCAGTGCTTTTGAAGTTCTGATGTCTCTTTGCTGGCCGATGTTGTTGATTGTTGTATTGCACTTTATCAAGCCTCAAGGATCAAAGTAGAAAGGTGCACAATAGACCCTGATTGTTTTATTTAGGGTCTCCTGCATTATTGCATTTCCTAACCAATCTTCTTTAAAATTTATTGCAATAGCCTTTTTTTCAAAAGTTTTTTGAGAAGCCAAATGAAACCAGAATAGATATCACATATAATATGTTGACTTGGGACCAATTGTATCATGTTTATGGGACCAATCTATGTTCCAGCCCATGAATAAGTTTCTCTTTCTATTAGATCTGCCGATTGGCTTCAATTGCAGAAAAATATCATCTGATTCATCTGCTGCCCAAAGTTCATAACTAAATCTCACAGGCTAGCCACATATATGTCATAGTATAATGTGGCCATGTCGATCACAGTTGACTTTCTTCTCTGTCAATAGTCATTGTTTTCACAATTGGTGATTACTGTTGCTACAATGACTATTCTCAATAGGCGAGCAGAATTGCCAGTGGCTGCATCATCCGAGTTATCTGAATCTCAGTATGTTTCGTTTGTTGTTGCTTCTGTGAAAGGTTCAGTAGCAAATATTTTATCTTCGTGTTATTCTTCTCTTGAAATCTCAATTATTTCATGTAATGATCTGCCAAAAATGCAATTAAAAAAAAGTGACTCGGGATGAAAAATCGTATAGTGTTCAACGTACCTAGTTCCAAATACTTCCATTTATTTCTATTTCTATTTTCTATTCTTTGTGTTACTTCCATACCTACTTCCATTTATTTCTATACTTTCAGGCACAATTGCTCTCTTATCAATTTTGACAACTATGCCTATTCACTAATGTAATCCAGATCATTCAGTGTAATATTTTCATGACATTTTCATGTTAACTCAGGTTTGCTACATTCATCTACACAGCCATGTCTCTCATATGTGCAAGTAAGTAAATTTACAAACATTCTTTTTCTAACTGCTATTGATACTTAGAGCTTATTTAATTATTGCTTGTACAAAGCTATATAATCTGCTCATAAATATACACAATTATCTTTGTCTTCCTGGAACAATAATTTAGCTAGTCAAATGTGACTTTGTCTAATTGCCACATGATTATTTTATTTTACATCATCAGTTAGCAATGAAGTGCCAGAACATGCAGTCGTATCACCAGTGTCTGGCGGTATATTCGAGAGGCGACTCATCGAGAAGTTCATCTCGGAGCATGGGATTGACCCCCTCAACAACAAAGATCTCTCTATAGACCAACTCATTGACATCAAGGGTATGATTAAATTTAGTGTATTATAACTACTATGCCATTTACTACACTACTTATTGAACTCAACCTGTTTGATACAGTCAAACTCCACCTTAAGAATGTCTTGCCTTACAACCAAACCCCTTTATGAAGCTTCTAATCTAAAAAAATTTGTTCTGCTATGTGACAGTACTTTGCTGTACAACCACGGGCACTGCAGAAAAAAAGCAAATTAGCATAAGAACTGTTGATATTTATTGATGATGAATTGCACATCATTAAGAAGCTTGCTCCTGGCATGTGGGTTGCTGACTTGGCCAAAATAAAATTTAAATTCTCCACTATCTTGGCTTAGGAATATGCCTTATCAGACACTTCAAATATAAATAATCCTTTTTCATCCTATTGTAAATGCAATAAATATGTAAAAGAAGTGACTTTTGTGGAGGCCTGACACAGATCAGTCTTTTCTATTAATTTTAACAAGAAAAATAGGTTTGCTTTGCATATGAACTGCTGTACAAAGTGAGTTCTTGCACAAATTGTTTGTAAAGTATGGTTCCACTTTAAATTGATGGTCCCAATGATTGATGGTCAACTAGATATTATTGAGATATTTCTTTTCATTCTATCATATTGCTTCTGGATCTTATTTATTCCTGTCATTCTTATTTGTGTGTTAGAAAGAATGTTCCCATTTTTTTAAATTATTTTAATAAAAACGCCTGTAAAGCAGCTCACTCTTTTGCATGATACCCTATCAATGAGATGGTTAATTTTTCCAGTTGCTCCAGTTGTGAAGCCAAAGCCACCAAGTGCCACCAGCATACCTGCCATCTTGAAAGCCTTGCAGGACGAATGGGACAGCGTCATGCTGCACTCCTTTTCCCTCCGCCAGCAGCTGCACACTGCCAAACAAGAACTAAGGTTTACCTATGACATGTTCTCGCCATATCATATACTAATTTCTCTATTAAATTAGTACCTAGTGGTTAGTGATAAAATGGAGAGTTAACAGTCACAATATTAAATATTTTAATCTGAGCTCTGTTATAAGTATGAATGTTTCTTTCCCATTGTTGTATTGTCATTCTGTCAGACACTATTTGAATCATTTTCATAATAACTACAGGTGTGTGCCACGTACCATTACAGTGGGGGGAAATAAATATTCGTACACTTGAAAAATCGTATTTTAATGTATGTAAGTTCACTTCTCCTGTTCAGTTTGTGTACTTACATACATTAAAATACGATTTTTCAAGTGTACGAATATTTATTTCCCCCCACTGTATATAACTTTCAAATATTAACGAGCTGAGTAATGTTTGCAATCATGGCCACCCCCATTTGTTTTTTACTACTCCCCATATTGGTCTGTGATGAAATCAATCATAGTCCAAGAAAATTTTACAGGCTGACTTTCCGCATGTTAATACAAGCAATGATGTTTACAGTCACGCACTGTACCAGCACGATGCGGCGACGCGAGTCATCGCTCGTCTCACAAAGGAAGTGACGGCTGCAAGAGAGGCTCTTGCCACCCTCAAGCCTCAGGCTGGCATTCAGCCCCAGACACCTACACATGGCGTACGTATTCATCCTGAACCTTTCTACATTTCTTATCTATGATTTCTTCAAGGATAAACATGAATGATTGGTTTTTATCATGCCATTTATATTCTATTATTTTATTTTATTTTTTGAAGTTGTCATTATTTACATATTTTCTCAAGTTGAATTGTCACAAATTTGGTTTTAAATTATGCAATTTCTATGACCCAGTTAGCTCGTATAATGCCGATTATAAATGAAATAATATTTGTTCTATCATCTAAGTTCTTTGAGATGTGCTGTATGTCTTTTCCTACAATTTTTGTATGTCTTTTTCTTCTAATCAATTTTTATTATTGATTGCGTTAGGTGAATAATTTAACAATGATCATAGTGTATGCTGACAACTTGATAACGTGTAGGTGGCGACGGGAGAGGCTGGAGGCACGGCAGACACGCCTTCACACACGCCATCACACGCCGCACCTGCTGCTCCTGAGGCTGCTCCTGCTCCTGCCACTACTGGTGATTATTTTTATATTTATTATACATATTCTAAAAATTTAATATTATAACAAAATATAGAAATATAAAAAAAACATCTTTTATATTATATTATACATTTCTATTTCCATCAATCCTTACATAATTGAAGCAATATTATTAAAGAATTTACGGCAATAATCAACCTTTGTGAAAAAATCTTTAAGGAGTGGTGCTTGTAATGCTGCAAGTAGTAATATTAGAGTATAATTAGAAATGGAAAACACTACCTACAGTGACTTTGAAACTTCCTTTCAAAATTTCACTTTGAAACTTCCTTCGTCATCCTATATGCTCCAGAAGTTTCTATAAAATGAACCTGAAATAAACAAAAAATTCGAACAAGCTCAATCCTCAATGCTTGAAATAAACTTTTCAGTGTTTTTGTATAATTTTAAACTAGATTTATACTTATCCAGATGATATTTTGTTGAACAACTGGATTTACGTCAAACTCTCCCCTGGCAGAGGATGTGCTTGGACCAAACAAAGATGCACATTACGAAATACTTGCTAGTTTTTTATTGCAGGTTTAATATAATGATGCTCTGTCACTGATGAATCATGATCATTATTAATGTTGTCATGTTACTGGTCAGGTCTGAGCGAGGCTGTGGTAGCACGGCTACAGAGCACCGCCACCACCCTCACGCAGGAGCGCAAGAGGCGCGGTCGCTCCGTGCCTGAAGGCCTCACTCCTCCTGAACAAATTCGCGCCTTCTCTACTCTTGCTTCTCATCCGGTACGGCTTCATTATTTTAGTTATCCCCTTCTTGCTTCTCACCCGGTATGGCTTCATTATTTTAGTTATCCCCTTCTTGCTTCTCTGCTTCTCACCCGGTACGGCTTCATTATTTTAGTTATCCCTTCTTGCTTCTCACCCAGTATGGCTTCATTATTTTAGTTATCCCTTCTTAATCTGGCAAATTTTAAGGTTTTTTGGAATAATTTAATTGCCTTTCTATGAATGATTACTCCGTCAAACTTTCAATTTTGTATTGTAAATTTGTAATACGATATGTAAATGCCTCAATTCATAATGCGGCTGATGGTTGTATGAGCGCTACTGCTCCCATCTTAATAATGAATGTTAGTTTATTTATATTTTCACGTCCAAATGACTGAACCGGGTTATCTTCTATTTATAGTTCTGGTGTGCAATAAAGTGGTTGATTTTCTGTATTGACTTCATTGATTATGTTAGGTCAGAAGAGGCGTAGACGAAAACTCTTACTGTGTCTGCAATTTCAAAGTACAATAAGAGTCTTGACTCAACAACAGTTTGACTCATTATGAATCTTGGCACAATAAAAGTGACACAAAATGAGAGTCGGGACAAAAAAAGTATTGTTGACCACTAATATGCTTACAAGTTTAGCTTGCATCAATACATTGTATGGTATATATTGCATCTATACATTGTATAGCTCCATAAGCTGCCTGGTGTCACACAAGTAACGTGGTTATGTACGCAGGGTCTGCACAGCGCCAGTGTGCCCGGCATCTTGTCCCTGGACGTGCACCAGAAGGACACCAGCAAGGTCGTCACTGGCGGCGCGGATAAGAATGCCACCGTCTTCAACAAGGATACTGAACAGGTCATGGGCTAATATAATTCTACCTTTCTAATTCTTCTTCTAATTTACCAAACTAATACAAGTTTGCTAAGTGAATGTATAATGCTTACGAACTAATACAGTTTTTTTAATAAATGTAAAGGTTTTTAATTAGTTGCTAAATTTGTAATGAAAATTCATTTGTGTCGTGTTTGGATTGGAAAAACATCGCCATCATGTAAAAATAAAATGAATTTATCTGTTTTCAAAATTATGGTCATTACTGTCTGACTTTCCAGTTCGCGATCTCTTCGATTATGTACCTATGCGTTTGATTTGCTCTACCTTCTTCAACTTGCATCTAAAATGGAATAAATACAATTTTTGTTGTAGATTTGATATTCTATACAGACTCCTTTTTATCAATTGTTTTTTGATAAAATCCAATAAATGCCATTACTTTTTCCTAGAAAGTAGGCATTAGTTTTTCATTGATTTTATTATACTTTTCAGTTTAGGAATTCAGAAGTATCCTTTTTCATGCGATATTAAAGATTTATGTAGAACCGTATTATTAATCAGTTTGAATATTATTGATGTTGTTAACTTAATACTACTTGACTGTACACATATCAATAGTGGAGCTACGTTTATGGAGGAAGAGCTACTGAAGTGATACAATTCTTGCCGTGTGTAGCGCTGTAACAGAATAAGTCCTTAACACTGCCTCTGGTGTTGCAGGTGGTAGCCATCTTGAAGGGCCACAACAAGAAGGTGACGTGCGTCGTCTACCATCCCACGGAGGACACTGTCATCACCGCGTCGCCAGACACGCAGGTCTGACACCTTCTCTTATACACTGCGCTACATTACCTCAAATGAATCTGATCGTTGCTCCTAATATTAAAATTATTAACGTAAAAGAATTCCATCATTGCATTTCACGGGAAGTTTTCTTACTTTCTGTTTGTCACCTTACATCCTCAATTGTTCGTAAGACATACTACTATCAATACCCAAATAATGATGCCACTCAGAAAAACGTGTGTTTGCTAGTAAAAAAACGTGTTTCTTTTGTTTAAAAAACTTACCTTGTAAAGAGTACGTTGTTATTGGTTCTGTTGTTTTCACATGTTATAGTAACTTGCAGGAGTGTAAGTAATTTTCTTCATCAAGATTTTGTTATCAGGTTTGGACTTTGGAATAAAGTTAACTACAAGCTGCAATTTAAAAACAGAGATAAATTAATAAAGCCAACATACTTGGTGATAGGATAGGAATGAATGAAGTTACGATTTTTCCCACAGGGAAGAATCCCTTTCCTTTGTCAAGGTACGAATTTCAAACATATTAAATATGTTTATAGATAAATGTGACAGACGCATCAATCTCCAAGCCCAAGAGATGATTAACTGTGTGATTAATCAGCCGAAGCCTCATGAATGTTAGTGTGATTTATTAAAATTAATGAAACACTTAAAATTAATTAAAATCAAATTGAAATTAATTAAAATTCTTGCCATTTGCTCTGACAATGCAACCCACATGAAGACAGCATGAGGTCTTGTGAAGTTGTAATTTCCTCACATTATTTCTTATACTAAAATTAAATTGGGAACGTTCCTGATCTTTCCATTTGGCAGCCACGCCGCTCTTGTCATTCAAATGGCACAGCCCTCATGCCTCCTTGAGGCTAAATAAAATGCAATTAAAAATTACATATTTACTGAAGCCCATAAAGCCTAAGTTAAAGAAATTTTGGGACTTTAAAATTTGTAACTAATGTAGTAATTATTTTTATTTAATGGAATTTTGTTTTCCCTTCATAATTTGTCAGGAATATTTTGATAGTTCTATCTCTCTCTCTCAGCCGACACACTTTCTTAAAACATCTTATTGCACTCTAAACCACATCCACAGTTGCTCCCTCCGATAAACCTACAATCACTGTAATCCTCATCTGTTCTCTCATTACTTTAACTCTCACTTATTTGGACTTACCTTCACTCTTCGTTCTCTGTCGTACACCTAACGTCAGGTGGAGTACATCATCAGGCGCTCTACCATTTCCATCACATCCTCATCACACATCCCCTCTCTCATTCCTCTTACGTACATCCACACTAAGCGCCACAGCCCTCACCTCTACCGGCAGTTCTTCACCTCTGCTACGATGATCACACTTCATTGTACATCCATTAATACTCGGGCATAGCATTCTCTGCGAGGAGTACATAGCGCTGGCAGTAGCACTTGCTGTAATACTCATTAGTAGTGACTCGGGAGCAAGTCAATAATGTTCCATTAATGCAGCACGATATTATCACGAGAATTACTTTTACTGTGTCCAAATGAAGAGGAACTACAGTGCATAAGAATAGTTTGTAGCATAATCTCATCGACATTTTCATTGTTTTAAATGTAATCTATTATATGCTAAATTATTCACTTAACTTGATGTCTCTCTTTCTCTATTCATATATTAAAAATATATTCAAAAAGTATTGCTGCAGCAAAAACCAAGAAATATAGACCAATAAAAAACATTAAAATCATTTTAAAAAGAAGAGCATTATTATGCTACATAAAACGGTTCTACGAATTCGAATTTCTCTATTATATATTTATGGAGCTAATGTCCTGGAAATATACTATGAAGAAAGCACGCCGTTGCAAATATTTGTATTTATTATTGTAATCAGATTCGCGTATGGAACGTGGGCACCAGCCAGACGCTGCAGCTGATCTCTGCTCACGACGGCCCCGTGACAGGCCTCTCTCTGCACGCCACGGGCGACTACCTCCTCTCCGCGTCACTGGACCACCACTGGGCCTTCTCTGACATCCGTACGGGCAGGGTCCTCTGCAAGGTACCACATATCTCATCCTTTATGTGTATACTTCATTATTGTAATCCCTTTCAGGTGTTATCTACCGTCATATGATTGTTGTTAATGGAAGTACATGTACTGTTTCATTGTTGTATTTTCGCGTAATGTAACAATCGGTTGTAGTCCACTCTTCATTTAGTGTCGTTTTAAGCATTTCATTATGGGGTAGGGAAGAAAGAAACATCTATTACACCGCAGGCAGCTAAAAAATTTTCAAGTGAAATAGCTCGTTTTGAACAAAGGAGGGCACCAGTTCTAGGTGTTCTCACTTGGTCTGATACTAATATGGATTCTTAAAGTCATTATTACTTTAGATTGGGATTCAATGGTTATTGTTTCGTGGCAGCTTCTGTGATCAATGTTACGCCAGCAGGATAAGAGCTTAGTTGCTCGAATTATACCTGCGTTGAGCTAACTCTCAATATTATATCGTATGCAATTTCAAATCAAGCGAATGTTCACTTGATTTGACGAAGTGTAGATTGTGTAAAAAAAACATTAACAAGCTTACGTCGCAGGTTGTATTTTATTAACACATTTTTCTTAGCTTAGCTTCGCGTTTGTTTGTTTGTTTGTTTGTTTGTTTGTTTGTTTGTTTGTTGTTAACATTGACAACGAAAATTAGCCCACTTCTGATTGTTCTAGAGATCTGAAATTCGGCATGCAGGCTATTTTCGCCTTACAATTTCAGATACAATCATAAAAACTAGTAATTATAGACCGAAATTAGTTTAATTGAGTAAAGTATATATATATTTTAATCATAAATCTGCCCGACACACGTTTTTTTGGGGCGAACCATAATTTATTTTCTACTTTTTAGTCCACACGAAAAACGTGGCTTATTAAAAAGTTTTTTTTAAGTATTTTTTTAATATTTTAATGCAGAGGACTTAGTTGCATAGATTTCTTGTATATCACGAATCGTCATTAATGTTCATTTCCATACAACTGCTCTTCCTAATCGATAACGTGTGGTTTAATCTGTCCCTGATAACAGGTGAGCGACCAGAGCAACAGCTCGGCTCTGACGGCCGCTCAGTTCCACCCTGACGGTCTTATTTTAGGCACCGGAACCCAGGACGCCACCATCAAAATCTGGGACTTGAAGGAAAGAAGCAACGTCGCCAATTTCCCTGGTAATTACATTTGTACCTAATGTTTGTGGTCCCATTGTGAGATGGCAGATGTCTCCTCATCCGGATTATTGCTATATGTTAGTGGGCCCATTGTATAACGATGGCGGATGTCTCCTCATCCACGACGATATTAAATGGCTTTATGTGCATTAATACCATACTATTCATTGAAATTAAATTGAATTGTGATCATGCATTAACGAGAAGACAATTTAATAATAATAATAATAATAAATGATTAAGTAAGAAATTATTTAAAAGAACTGTTCAGCTAATTAGAATCCTTTCATTAGATTGTGGCGTTTGCAATGCTATCATATCTTCATTTCATCATTTGTTCCGTTTGGACAACCTAATTTCAGTCAAAAAAGTGTTCTGCCCATGTCTCTTAAATACTATGCGATAACTTTAGTTTGATATTCGTGTTATTCTGTGAGTCATTTGCCTCATGGCCGTCTAATGTAATTTGTTCTATTCAGGCCACAGTGGTCCGATCTCATCGATTGCGTTCTCCGAGAACGGCTACTATCTGGCCACGGCCGCTGAGGACTCAACTGTCAGGCTCTGGGATCTGCGCAAGTTGCGCAACTTCAAAACCCTGCAGTTGGATGAAGGATACGAGGTTACAGACCTCTGCTTCGACCGCTCCGGCACCTACCTTGCCGTGGCGGGAACTGATGTCAGGTCAGTGCTGTGTTCAAAGGGTATTTCTGTGACGCTGCTGCACGTTTGATATTTCAACGTAGTTCAATAAGCGTGAAGTAGTGATATCGCTGCGGAAAAATACCTTTTTAAATATTAATAAGTGGGAGGGAGCCTTGAAAGCTTATGAATCTTAAATGTACAAATAAACATCTGGTATTTATATTCAGTTGTTGGATTCTTGCCGAGTTTGAATCTGATTTTAGCACAAATTGTTAACTCGTAAAGGAAATATATTTGCTGTTTTTTTTTTTTGTTACGTTTTGGCTGCATTGAATTTGAGGAGTCAGTGAGCTTGTAATTCTCTTCATGTATCTCCTCGAAATTTAGGTAACTTTTTTTCATTTGCTGACCTAGAAATTTTTTTCTTGAACGCAGACACTATTTTATTAATTTTTATCCAACTATTTGTTTTTAATTTCCGATCACCGTATACGTATTTATATCAAAGATAGTCCCGACTCAGATATATCTTTAAAATACCTGTCATTACAAATATATAAGGGGAAATGTAGAAGTGTTTTGTAGATTGTGTTGACGTGTGTGGTTGTTGCGCAGGGTGTACCTGTGCAAGCAGTGGACGGAGCTGCGCGTCTTCACAGACCACACCGCCCTTGCCACGGGCGTCCGCTTCTCCGCTGACGCTGCCAGCCTTGCCTCCACTTCCATGGACCGAACCCTTAAGATCTACGGCTCATAATCGCTTCATTCTGAATATTTATTCAGTATTTATGATCGTAATAACCACTATACTGAGTAGTCAAATGTACCCTCATAATGCTTTGTAATTTAGAGTAATGAGTTTCAATCCATATAGACTTGCTTTCATTTAGAAGAATTTCAATGCAATTTTTATAGTCAAACCATTGATACTAGAGTGAAAATTGCCCTCAAATAGATCCGTAGAATATGGACAGATTTTTAGGATAATTCCGGAATTTATGACCTTACACTCCTCTATTGTCATTGTAATCATTTTAATTTCTGATGCGTTTCAAGTTTCCATAAATAAGGTTATCAATAAAAGTGAATATTAAACATTTCTTTATAAAATATAATTTCTATCCCGGAGTGGAACGTATAAATAATAGACACGAGCATCAAATTAAGGCACGATACTCGAGAAAAATGTTATGTTCATATAATAAATTGAACTGATAGATCTTTTAGTACGAATACAAATAAATTGAATTGATAGATCTTTAGTATGAATACAATCAATACATTGCCCCTGCGACTACTGATAATTAAATGGTAATTATGACTACGTACGTTTCCTGTCTATACTAGAATAGCTTAAATGATTGAATTGCGGGAATGCCTCAAGCTTAGACTAAACACAGAATTCTGATCTACCAAATAACTGTAAGCAATTCTGGCAGTGTTTACAAATTTCCTGTTGCTTGTTAATCATTTAAGAATTTCTATTAAGTTCAAGGGCTTACATAACTGTCACTACAAACATACGGGAAAAACTCTCCTGTCAATGTATATGCTCTGCTAGTGCATAACAAGCTTGCTTGTTATTCCGATTCGAACTAAACAGTTTAAAATTAAAGTTGCATACGTTGTGCAGTCTATCACGCTATGAAAATACTGCCCACGATTCCATTATCTATTAAATATTGTAATATTTCTGTTGTTCGCGTGATGCCGGAAGGCAAGTACAACTCCCGGTCAACGAACCATGTTTTGGACACCACAAACTTGTACAGGAAAGTAAGGAAAGCGTGAAGGAAGGATTCTCCGAGGTCCCTCATGAGGTCGAAGTAAGTTAGAAGTTCCTCTGGCTCTTGCTCTGAATCAGTACTGACGAGACGGTGGTGGGTGGAGTTATAAGTGAGGCAATAAGCGTCACAGAGTTCAGTGTAACGCTCCCGCAACATCGAGGGCTCGAGAAGAGTGAGCCACACCCATGCCGCGTCTCGCAGGGGAGGTGCTCGCAGGGACGTTCCTCCGCGTAGACGAAGAGCTACAATGTCGTCCTCTTCGTTGTGGCGATTTATCCACACGTCACAAGTGCTGATCGGTCCAACGCTCACCATCCATTTCTTGCTCACCGCTGACGAAAATCTAATAAAATCCATGAGAGTCGGCAAATCCGATCTCAAGTTCGCGAGACGGTTCCTAATATGGCCATTATCTGGGTTGGCGTGGAGCCTATGAATTAAAATATCAAGATTGGCGTTAGCAATGTCAACTTGAGTAACTTCTGAAGTTAGAGCGTCTCCACATTCGCCGTTACACACCTCAACTTTAGCCATACTGCACTCGCTTTTGCCGGAGGCTGCGGTTGGGCACTTAGCAAAGCGAGCGATATCTCGTAATTCTGCTACATTTGGGTTGGGGAGATCCAGCCCGTCTTTCTGGAGGACGGAGCAATGTGCGTGTAGTGATGCTAGTGCGCGCGTCACTAAGAGGGCGTGATGAGTCGTCAAGTCCTTACGAGGGTAAGGCTGGAGCCCCTGTCGGTACAGGTCGTCGGAGGATGTGGCCTTAATGACCCGAGGGCGGCCGCTCCTGAAGATGATGCATGTGTTGGGCACCTCGTCGTCGATGTCAAAAGATCCTGGCTTAGGAAGAGCTGCCAAGCGCTCCTCGATGTTTGTAGGCTCAGCCATCCTTCCTGCACAAAAAATATTCATAATTAATTGTTAGAACAAACTAATTGCACGGCCTACAGTCAAATAGGAGAAAGGTCGAAAGGCGGCCGTACCTGAGCTTTGTTCAATTAACCGGGGTATCTACCTTTATGAAAACGTGTCAATAATTAATCCCTCAAAAATTAAATCGAGCGATGATGAACAATTAACTATTCGTCGTTGATAAGTTAGACATCTGGAGAGCTGAATACATCCTCAAAATATCTATACCTCAGAAAATCATTACCTCATAATGCTTGTTCCGCTACAAATCCGACGAATATTGATTTGGGACGGCCTCCGGATAAGGCACGAAATCGCCTATGCTGAAACCAAACCACGGCCTTCAAGTTACTGATTTTATCTTGAGAATATTTCTACATCAAATTATGAAAATGAAACGGTACACAGCCAGAGAAGTCACGGTCGACTTGAGGCATGTCTCGCAACTTACGCGATTAGCCGCAAATTTCTTTAAAAAATGTATGCCATGCATATATGACATGATATAGCCTATGTACATCATTGGAATGTTTAGGCAGCTAGGAGCCTTGAAAACACTCTATTGTGTGTAGCTCATACGCTTCGTACTCCAGCCTGCTTTTCATCAATAGAAACTACGTCCGACCTTCGTACCATCGTCACTGCGTCGGTGTGGGCTATGACGACGAAATAAATCTTCAGTATTATTAAGCTGGACTACGTCTATTGTCACGTTCGGCGCAAGATAGTTCAACCTGCAGCGCTGGTAATTGTGGTCACTAAACTTACTTCAAGATTCACGCAAATTTTGCTTTTTGCAATTAAAGACGAAAAAGCAATTATTTTTTAGATATATATAGAATTTAATGATTAATCTTAAATTACTTCAGCGAAAATGGTTATTAATAATTATTTGAGGTCAAGCACGCGGTCGTCGACGTAGTTCAGGGGTAGTTAGGCGGGATTGACGACTTCCGGACTTCGCCTAGACGACATTAGTGGCCGCGACACTCAAGGTGGCCGATATAAATAAACTCAATCCGTGAATTTATAGTCAAAAGTGCATACCTAGTGTGCAGATTATGAATACCTTGATACATTTTCTTAAGAATTTACTCTCACCCTCCAAATATTGGATGAACAACACCGCAACATCTTCGTCAGAAAACTCCATGATGAGGTATGGTAATGTATATAATATGCTTTGCTAAATTCCAGAGTTACCTGCAGAGTATGGAGCGAAACTGAAAAAAAACATGTTGCTAGTATTAGTTTTCAGTGCCCGGAACAGGGTGCTATATTATATGCACACAGACAAGCTTCACTAGACCGAACAAAAAACTTGGTGGCAGCGAACGAACTTCAAGGTCAAGCATACGTACTGTTTCCGTACACAGAGTCCGCACCTACCCGTACGTAAGGTATATATAATATATGAAACTATATAACTTCCTTTTCAACTTAATTCCCATTGTTGTAACAGCAAGCAAGAAATAGACAATTCAAAGGCGCGGAGTGCGCGGCCATGAATGGTTCATAACAATACCAACACGTAGAGCGAGCAAATGACGCTTGAGATTAAACTATTTTCGAGCGAATTACTAGGAGCGTATCATCGTGATCATGCAAGTCGACATCAAACGTATCCATTATGAGTTTTATTAAATTCCTGGAATGTCGACGCCAATTTTTGTTGCCTCTCATTCGTCACACGTTGAGCCAAGACTCATTATTATAGAACAAATATTGTTTTTTTCCTCAAAATTATGCACTTTGCATTGTAATCTACGGTTACAAAAATTAACACGAAGGCGCAAAATATTTTATCACCTATATTTTTCCTCTTCGAAACAAGAAAAAAAAGCACTCGAAACAAAAATCCTCGATTTATAACGGGCTGAAGAACCTTTTGACTGAATATTATCGATTCAACATTCAAAACACTTGTTCATGTCTCGCCCCTTATGGTTGACCGTGGTATTCTAAAGGCGACACTTTGCACGTGCCGAACACATGAACAAGTCTCCTGAACGCAAGGTGGGGTGCGCGGTCATGAAATTATTTGCATAGAATGCAGGCAACGCACATAGTCTTAACTTGTGCAGAGGCACAGATAGTTCCAGATTAATAAATGACGTAGACATGAAATTAAACAATATACGCTTGAAATTATTCATAATAGATGGAAAAGAAAGTAAATTATTAGTTAGTGTAGCGGGACTAGTCGAAGGGTTTGTGTTTGTATTCAAAACGCAATAAGAACTGGTGCGACGAGTTGCAGCGCAAGCGACCGCTTCCAGCGACAGGGTCCGGCCGTGGACTCTCTGCACATTAGGCGCTCTGCAATTCCTCGTGGGGCCAAATAATGGGCTTGCTAAACTTTGTTCTAATTACTTAAACGCACTTTTCGGTCGGGCATTATAACGTTCAAAATTGCCATTAAAACGCACGGGTCATATCTATGATATCGCAAACCTCCCATATCCATCACATGCACAGGAGAAGCAGTGTTGGCTGATAGAATCAAGATAAAATTTAGAAAATATTAGATTAGTTTACAGCTACCCACGCAAATTTGGCCAGTAAGAATGGCTTGGGACCACCAAATTGGCTTGGGATCCCTTCCTTTTATTCTCATTAGAACACTTTCAGCGCCACTTAAGTTACAGATTCTTGTGAGTGATGTAGGCATTATGCCTGAGTTCCGTTTGACGTCCTTCTCTAACGAATTAAGGCTTTCAAATATATGATAAAAAATATGACAACCTTTATTAATAAGGTCTAGGTAGTGCCCATGCCTGCCGGGCTACATTGCTCAGTTCCGGGGTAAGAGAAATGAAGTCGAATTTGGACGCAAGCCAAGAGCTCCTACAGGCGACGGTACACAACACAACACAAAGTCAACTGAATTACGAAGTTGTAGTACAATTATTATTTACTAATTCCTAGTCTACAGGTAACCAAAATTGATTATTAAATCTAGAAACGATCCGAGCTCATAGATGTGATAATTTTATTGCTTCCTAATGAACCCAATTCATCCGAAATTTTAAACGACACAATATAGACGAGACATAATGCATAATATTTAACGACAAATAAATTCACGTGGAAGGAGCCGTTCATATTTTTTATTGCATATTTCACACTATGACACTAACACCATGTATACAAAGAAATAGTCCGAATAAAGCACAGAGGGACTGATAATGAGAAGTAAGACCTTTAGAGCTCATGACCGGAGGCCATTAGAATCAAGACGGAAATATTTGTCATGGAATAATTATCTGTGAAGGCGTAAAGTTTTTTTAATACGGTAGCTTGGTATTCCTACTCCTAAAGACCAGGGCAAGGGGAACAGAAATTCATATTATTATCCATTATTCTTCAAGACGGAGGAAACCTGACACAGCACTGAAATTTCCCATTTGTTGACGCTTGAATTGCCGCGACGAAAAATTACACTGCAACGTTTAGAACATTCAGTCTTTTATTGCTAAGAGTATATATTTAGAGTACATTTAATCACTCATACGCCGTTTTATGAGCACTACACGCACATGTTTATACCTCGCCAGCTCAACACAATATGCATCAGGGTCGCCCGCGATGGTCCTCGAGATGCAGGATTTTTCACGCCCAAGGCCAAATGGACACCTGGCGCGCGGCTACGAAGAGTTGGGTAGGCTAGACTCATGGCTCAAACGTAGGAGTATGTAGTGCACAAACCAGAAACTGAGCTACAACCAGAGGTGGGCAGTAGCGCGCTACATGTAGCGGCCGCTACTAGCGGCCGCTACATTTTCAGTAGCGGTAGCGGTAGCGGCTCTACATTTAAGGCATGATATGTTTTAAAAATGTTTTATTATCATTAAATGTTAATGAGTAAATCCCAATAGCAGAACAATAAATATTTAGAGATTTCCAATAATTTCGGCCATTGTAGCGGCTAATGTAGCGCGCTACATTTTACTGTAGCGGTAGCGGTAGCGCCCGTTACAATCCAGTGGGTGTAGCGGTAGCGGTAGCGCCCGCTACATTTAGAGCATGCAGCGGTAGCGGTAGCGCCGCTACATTTCTAAGTAGCGCTGCCCAGCTCTGGCTACAACTTAGTGAAGGAAGTTTACCTATATAAAAATTCAATAGCCAATGTCCACAATTATGTGCGCACATAATTTAATTGAATTTTTACGAGGGGTAATATTTTATCTTGAAAGGTCGAAGAGTTGATTTCAGCATCTTGGAACAAGTAGTCGGCTCCAGCGTTTGAAGCGAGCTATCAATGCATAAGCTGAGAACGACTTATCGAGCTTTTGATAACTATTTTTAACATCTGAAACAAATTGTCCATAGGCAAATATAATTGTCGCTAGCATCGATGCATGAATGAATAATTATAATCATGAATTGAATCAGGAGGGTTATCGGCTGTAGACACCGCAGCTCGATGAAAAAGACCATTCGGCATATTTTACTCTAAGGAAATTTTTCTTAAGAATTATTCAAGCCACCAAACGAATTTCCGTGACAGCAGCAGAGATGCGGGGGTGAGTAGCGTGCAGATAAAAGTTGTGCTCAATAAGCATGATCTAATTAGACATACAAATGTAAATTCATTGCTGCAGAAATACTGATACGATAACAAAATATAAAGCGCAATAAAGGCAACTTTCTATACGTTAGAACACTTCGTGTTCGAGAAACTATTTTCACAATTAGCGTTCAACCAAAATGTGATGCAACACATTTTACATGCAGCATCAATACAATATTCATGGGATTAAAGATTTAATTCATAAATATGATTATTTAATAAAGCAGTTCCATAATGGATGAATAATATAAATTAATTTTTTACAGAGTAATAAATGAAACCCTATCATCCTAGTCCGAATTTCTGCACAAGCGACGCCGCTACGTGACAACACACTGTCCACTACCGAGTCTAGGACGTAACTGAGGATAAAGAGGGCGGGGCGCTATTTATCAGTAATCCCGTGCTGGCACGAAACCTTCGCGGGTGCCGTGAAGTCCGTGCGGTACGTTTTCTCGACCCTACCGAACACCTCTCGGACAATTTTCCGGCCTGTCTTGCGACCGGTCTTGAAAGTTCAGTGAGCTTAAAAATTAAGTGTTACATCATGCAAGAAAAAAAAACCGACTCGTTTTCCTCCAGAGCAAGTCAGACCATGATTCAACCATGAGTCAGACAACGAGATATGATAAGCTACAGTTTTAGCTTTCGGAATTTATTGCCTTGGGCTACATTTATCGGCAACAAATTAACGTTCTGATGAGAGTAAGAAGTCCTAAACTTCGTGTAGTCTAATAGTCTTGCTTACGATTAATATGATAGTGCTCGATCTCGTAGTGAAATATTTCATTATAAATTTGGTATTTCAGCTACTTTTGCGAATAAACAATAGATAAATAAACATCTAAAAAAGAAAATAAATAAAACGAAACAATAGACAAATAATCCTGAAGGTAAAAAATATAGAACTCGAATTCTACAAAGAAAACACTCACTAGGTGAGCGTAGATGAAGTTTAAGTTTAGTAAATCATACGTGAAAGTATATACCGAGCGATTCAGCACGATGACAGCATGAATTAAATTTTGCTGGTATATTTCCGGAAGCCTCACGTAAAAGATCCGTGACTGCTGCATTTTGAGATAACACATCAATAGAGATAACCGAGGAAAAATCCGAAATGCGCAACAGGCACCACTTACAGTTGAGATACTGCATAATTACCAATACATTGCTGCAAAATACAGAATGTACCTTGGATAATTTATACATACACAAAAATATACGAAAAAAAATTTTCCCACTTTGAATGAAAGAAATAACTGACCTTCAATACACTAATTATTGGTATTCGACCTGTTCACCCGGCAAATTATTCGCCAAGGCTGTTGTCAAAAGCAGGCATGGAACGTTTTCCTTCAGGAAATCAATCCTTCTTTTAAAGCAGACTGTAAATATAGACTAGGGCGGAAATACTCCATGGTTATGTGTGCACTGCCATCTTGTAGGGACGCAGGCAGAGCCTGGTCGCCGGAAAGCTATGAGGTCAGCACAAACAAGCTCTAGTTCGCCTCGTATCAATCACTAGTCGCTACGCATGCTTCATGTTGCACGACACTTAGGTTTATGCTTCAATCACGCTAGGCATAAGTACATTTGAAGAAAACTATTCACAGATGATTGAAATCAATGATGATTAAAATCAACGATGATTAAATAAACTTGTGTTCGATGATTGTATAACTAATTTAAACATATTCATGAAGAAGAGTGTGAGCATGTAACATTCGTTAATGTATCTTCATACTTCAAGAATACGTCCCTAGCTATTAAGAACACAACTTTATAAGATGGCAAAAATCAGAAAATTACGCGAGGATAC